TTACAGTGAAATTAAACTTAAACTAATTTTACATCAACAAATTTAGAAACCTCGAGTTACATTCAAGGGGAATGAGATGAGAAGAGAATGTACATCGAGAAGGGGGAGAAAGGCAGGGCGCATAGGCCCTATTTAAAATTTACAATCATACATACCAAAAAATACTTTAAAACATTCACTATAGGTCTAAAGCTCATGTACCGGGCACCATGTAATATTCAAACAAGTACATTGCATACATTCAAAAATAAACATTTTGAATTGGGTGGGTGAAATTATTGATTACCTTCTAATAATTTTTCAGATTTACATTTTGGTTCAAAAGTCTAAAAACTGTTCACTTAGGCCCCTATGCACTCGAAAGTATACTCGCTGCGGCGATGGGATATATCGTCATAGTATGCACTGATTATCGTCACATACATGCATAAGTACAATTGCCACGGTGAGCGTTGTTTTCATTCAGCTCACATATTAGACTGCGATTGCCGCGGCGATGGGTTATATCGTCGTGGCGAGCGCTGATTTTTCAATCAGTGTGTACACCTAACAATCACCACGGTGATGGGTTATATCACCGCGACGAGCGTGCACTGATCTGCAACAGATTAGTTCAACCAGCCGCATAGAATGCAAAACGGATTTTGCAATCAATCTTAACATCCGATCTCAACAAAAATCCATGTCATATTATACCAATCTTGTAGATCATCAACAAATTAAAATTTATCAAGTGTATTAAGTCAATTGATTACTCAGAACATGCCATCAACACATAATTTATACAGATTTAACAAAATAACATGTTATCAAACACAGATTAAACTGTTGGAGTAGGTGCCCTACAGCCAATCAATTAGTGTGGACTTGACTCTTTGTAATAATGTTGATTAATCAATAAAAGGCATTATCTACTATATCATATAAATCATAGTTGCATGTATTGATATAAGTCTTTGGGATGGTAGAACCGTGATGAGGGTATCAAGTGTTTCAAATCTTGATAGTGAGAACCATATGAGCACATATGGTGGCCATTCAAGAAATGTCCGTAGCCTTAGTATTTTTCTGACCAAGGACACAAATAATACGGTAAGACTATCATACTTTTGAACAACCCTATCGAAAGGCAGTGACTGATCTCACTTGTTAAGGTTGTTTGTCGACAACCTGGTGTAACACATGGGTGCTTACTGTAGGCAAGTTCACTGGACTCACCATTAGAGGATTGCATATAGATGGTAACCCCAGTGTCTATGGAGCAAATCCTCTAACGAATGGTGGTGCATGTGATACTTAGATTTGAGATCACCAGAGAGCCTTGTGCACCGATTGGTGTAGTTTGACACTAGCCCAATGTAGTTCTATTTAGAGCTATCAATACAGTAGTAATTGGCTGCATCGAGGAGTGTATTAAGACTATGGTGCATCAACAGAGGATTCATTACTCCCGGGTACAGGAGAAGTTATCTCATGGCACAATTCAGTTAATGACAATGACAATAAATCTATGATCATAATGGGATTGAGTTATTGCTACATCTAATTTATTATTCTTGTCATTGCTGGTCTAGTAATTGAATATAAATATATCGAGGATAACTGAGGTTGACACTATTTCTATGCCTAAGTCTCGATGAGATAACAGATGATGAAAGGATTTGATTGCACGGTAACCATATCATTGACGGGTAGCTATTTCGCTGAATCCGAATCTATCGGGTGGCTATGATGCCTTACTAGGGGCCAATCTTGGTCTGTCTGCTGTGAGATGATTGATTGGTGTCAATCGCGATACTACTCACTGTCAGTATGATGAGGAGCCTACGGGTCATACACTAAGGAGACAGTTTAAGGGTGGTTAACTATGGAAGGGTATTTTCGTCTTTTGGACGGAAGGGTATATTGGTAATTTTGCTGTGTAATTAAATTTACTGAGGTTGTAGCCTATATCCAATTTTATTGGAATAATTTAGCAAAATTACGAGTTAAATTATTGAAGTTAATAGTTAATTAAATAATTAAATAAGGACCTATGTGTGATTCCACCTAAGTTTAGGGGTGGAATTGATATTTAGCTTTTCTATATAAAGAAAAGCAAAATAGGTTTTCACAAGGAATTTCATTATTCAGTTGTGGGAGATTTTGAGAGGGAATTTTTCTCTCTTCTCTTCTTCACTTCATCCTTCCAAACCTTGAATCCTTAAAGTCAAGGATTGGTTCTAGCAAAAACCAATCTCTAGTCTCTGTTCTACTACCTTCGTGTGGACAATGTGAGTTTGATCCTACACTTGGATCGGTAGCGAGATCGTGTCCAGAGATATTGGCAGAGCCTCTAAACGTTGGTTTGATCTGATCCTTGATTGGTTTTTGTGTTATTTCAATTTAAGCATGCAATATATATATATATATATATATATATATGAATATATAATAATAATATATATATGTCAGACCCTGATCTTGGGTTCATCAAAGTAATCGATGGGAAAGTTTTTGTTTTTCGCTGCGTTTACCCTATCGATTTACTTACATAAACTATATAATCTTGTATTCCAGGCTCTGATACCATTGTTAGGAATCGATCTACCCAACACAGCGGAAAAACAAAAATTAAATGATAAATCGATTCCTTTAAAACCCAAAATCAGGGTACAGATTATATAGTTAACACGTTAAAACAAAATTCTGCAGAAAATATAAACAATCCATTCAAGGATCATAGATCTTATGCACGTTTGGAGGCTCCTTCACTTTGTCTTTGATTTGGATTCACTGCCGATTAATTCAAAGTAAAATTGAATGAACAGTGATCCACATGAAGATAATATGAAGAACCAAAGAGCGATTCGTTAGATCCTCTTTGGCTTCAAGAAACAACTTGAATCAAAGAAAAATCTTTTATTCAAGATCAAGGGAGAGTGTAGAGAGAGAGAGCTGCCTTTTTTTCAATGAATGAACAAAATGAATTCATTTTTTCCTTCAATACACATGCACTTATATAGTGCATGTGTCAAAACCCTAATCCTTTTAGGAATAGGATTGGGCTCCATCCCAAATTAACCCATGTGTCCAAACACTCTTTTTGGTATTTTGTTTTAATTAATTATTATTATAATTAAAATCAATTAATATATTTATAAAATATATTAACATTTAATTAATAATAATTCATTTAAAATGCGTAAATATATTTATGTATAATCTCACTAGTTTAATTTTAATATTAAATTAAATCTAGGCAACAACCTCATCAAATTTAATTGCACTATGAGATTACGAAAATATCCTTGCATCATAAAAGACAAAAATACCCCTTGAACAAAACGATTCTTAAATTATCTTCTATGTATGTGACCCATAGACTCCTCATCATACTGGCAATGAGTATCGCGATTAACACCAATTAATCTTCTCACTACACACATACCAAGATAGGCTCCTAGCAAGGTATCGTGGCCACTCGATAGATTCAGATTCAGCGAAATAGCTACCCATCAACGATATGGTTACCGTGCAATCAAATCATTTCATCATCTGTTATCTCAGGTACAGAAATAGTGTCAACCTCAGTGACTCTTTATATGTTTGTATTCAGTTACTAGACCAATGACTGGAATAATATATTGGATTGAGCAACAACTCAATCCCACTGTGGCCACAACTTTAGAGTCATTTCCATTTATTGAATTGTGCAATGAGACAACTTCTCCCGTACCCGGGAGTAATGAATCCTTTATCGATCCATCATAATCTCGATACACTCTTTGATGCAATCAATCACTACCGTATTGACAACAACTGCGTTGGCCTAGTTTCAAAATACATCAATCGGTGCACAAGGCGCTCTGGTGATCTCAAGTCTAAGGATCACATGCACCATCATTCGTTAGAGGATTTGTTCCATAGACACTGGGGTTACCATTTATATGGAATCCTCTGGTGGGTCAGTCTAGTGAACTTGCCTATAGTAAACACCATATGTTGCACTAGGTTGTTGGCAAACAACCTTGACAAGTGAGATCAGTCATTGCTTTTCGACAGGGTCGTTCAACACTATGATAGCCTTACAGTATTAGCTATGCCATCAGTCAGAATGATATTAGGGCTACGGACATTTCTAAAATGACCACTATATGTGATCACAGGGTTCTCACTATCAAGATTTGAAATACTTGATACCCTCGTTATGGTTCTACCATCCTAAGGATATATATTAATACATACAATATGATTTACACGATATAAAATAAAATGCCTTTAATTAATCAATAAACATTATTACAAAGAGTCAATTCTACAATAATTAATTGGCTCTTGGGCACCTACTCTAACATATTCTACACAAATGATTTTTTTTTTTTTTTCAAGATTATGGAGATCCAAGAATTGGGGATCCGATTACATGTGGAAATTGGATTAGCCGACACAAAAAAGAAATTATGAAGGTTTAGAGACACAATCCAACTGAATTTCATGATTGGTCAGCAAATTAATGTACAATTTTTCGTACTTCCTTTTATTATTAGCTTCCGTTAACGATTCTATTCTTTATGTTACTGAAATTCAGTACGCAGTATTGGGAATTAGATTATGTCTGATTTAAGAATTTAATCTTGCTCTAATTAATTTCTAGCAGATCATAAAGACGATACATTTTTTTTGTCTTATTTTTGAGCAAATACACGAGTCTTGTTATATTTTTGAGCAAATCTGTGTGACTCCATTCACTGTTTTCTTGATCATGCATGTTGGACGATTCAGTCAATGAAATTTATGAACACCAGCAGCCCAGTGAGATACGAAAGCGGAACTCTTCTATACATTTAAATGCAGTGATGTAAGCAAGGAAGAAAAAAAATTTCTTTGACAATTTGATTTGGTTGTTAAAGACCTGCTCTTGATGTAAATTAAAAATAGATGGCCATTGAAGACTTGGTAAGTCTTCGTCCTCTTCTTCGAGTAGGGGAACTAATGAAGACTAGTTCAATGAATTTTATCTGTAAATACACTAACTTGCCTTGCAACATATCTCACCTTCACTACTAAAGCAATAATACTTGAAGAATAGAGAGACTTAACCCACTCATCAAGATGAAAAGTTTCCTTTTGGCTTTTGTTCTATTGGCTTTGGCTTCCTCATTGGCCTCTGCTTTTGATCCCAGTCCTCTTCAGGACTTCTGTGTAGCCGTTGATGACCCCCTGCATGGTGGTATGTTTTAAGTTTCTGTCAAAATTTCTATTTTTATATTTTTGAATGTACATTAGCAGCACACATGCACACTCTCTCTCTGTATACATCCTTTCTATGGCTAGGCATGTATTCGATATTATTCAATTCTTTCATATTTTCAGTGTTTGTGAATGGGAAGTTCTGCAAGGACCCCAAGCTTGCCAAAGCTGGGGATTTCTACTTTTCAGTTAAGATGCCTGGAGACACAAACAATCCAGTTGGTTCAAATGTTAGCGCTGTGAATGTCGATCAAATTCCAGGACTTAACACACTTGGCATTTCAGCTGCCCGTATTGACTTTGCTCCTTATGGCCAAAACCCACCTCACACTCACCCTCGTGCCACTGAGATTCTTGTAGTCCTGGAGGGTACTCTTCTTGTTGGTTTCGTTACTTCCAATCCAAACAACACACTTGTCAGCAAAGTTCTTAACAAGGGTGATGTGTTTGTGTTTCCCATTGGTCTCATTCACTTCCAATTCAATATTGGGAAAACAAATGCTGTTGCTTTTGCTGGTTTAAGCAGCCAGAATCCTGGTGTAATTACCATTGCAAATGCAGTATTTGGATCAGATCCTGCCATTGATCCTGGTTTTCTCGCTAAAGCTTTCCAGTTGGACAAGAAAGTGGTGGAAGATCTCCAGAAAAAGTCCTGGATGGATAGCAATTAGAGAAACATATTTTCAAATCCAGTGAAATATGTTTCCTACTTCTAGCTAAATGTTTTCATTAATTTATTTTACAAGTTACAATTGATGATGTAATAAAGATAGGCTTCATACATGTTATATATACCTCGAGTGTGTTTTGTTTCTTTTGTTTTTTTTTTTAGTTATGTTACCTTTTCTTGCCTTACTCTTCCATTGGACTCGATCCCTCCATCACCAAAATAATACAAAATTTCAATGTGTAAACTTATGGGAATAAAAAATACATAAACTACAACTCATTGGAATGTTTTAATTACGTGGGTATTAAACTTTAGAAGATGATATCTTGGATAAGTACGTACTATCATTTAAACGATACATCACGTATTAAAGAATTGATTACTTGTTCATATTTTATAACTTGTTTTTAACACATTTGGCAAAGTCAAATGCTTTTCGGCGTTAATTAAAACATTGCTATAAATCATAAAAAAATGAACTTTTTGGATAATCCAATCTAAAAAAGGCAATTAAATTGACTTCATCCTAATTGTAATTGACCCTTGTTAATCAATTGTAAAATGCTCAGCCAGTATAATATCCCTAGGATGCCTAACTTTTATAAAACTGACAACTCCCTCTCCCTCCGCCGTTAAATTTACACGCTTTGTTTATTTATATGTTAAATAAACAAAACGTGTAAGCCAATTTGAGGTATTTTCTAAATCAAGAGGCAGTCAATTATAATAATGTTTATTTGATTTTCAGCTGTTCCTATCCGAGAAGGTCTCTTTGATATTTGCATTATTTTGCCTTGCTTAATAAGTCAGACTAGATTAAGAACAGCCTCGATTTTCTATTAACTTGTAGTCCATGTAAGACAAAGTCATTTGTTGCCATTTGTCATGCAATTGCTGCCTCCCCCTAGTCTCATCCTTTTTATTTTATTTTATTTATTTATTTATTTTAATCATTAATAAAATTTTAATATCTTGCATGACATCGAGATTAAAAAAGAAAAAGAAAACGGCTGCCTTATTTGATCCATATAAAAATTGACTCTCATGCTTTAACGAAAGTAATGGCAGATATTGAAGAAAAATATCAAACAAATAAACATAGATGGATTAATGGTAACCTTTAATTCAATGAACATGTGAAAAGTTTGATAGGAATATTGCATGGGCTAAAAAACATGTTGGACCTTGTCAGTCCCAATAACGAAATAAACAATTTACGGGACCCACACTTAAATCCATCTTGTGGATTGACTATCCAATGAGATGTCCTATATTGTAAGAAGATTCATTCTATAGGTTGGCCCATTCTACAGATTGGTCCACACCACGAGTCAGCCCTCTCCACGAGCTCGGCTACTTTATGAATTGGATCACTCTATGATCAAGGTCACCCTACAAACTGGGACAACTTATGCTTTGGGTCTCTCCACGAGTTAGGCCTTTCTATAAGTTAAGATAAATCAAGCTCTAGCCCATTAGCCCATATTCATTCCAAAACAGGACTCAGAGTTTTGCTTACTTCCTAGTTCATCCAAGATCTAATCTTACATGAACTAGTATTTCTACTTATACATGGATTACATTATCAGTTTCCTATTTACTCAAATTTGGATTACATTATCAGTTTCCTATTTACTCAAATTCCTATTATGAGAACGCCTAGTTTTACAAAGACTCAAGATTCCTTGACTCACTATATAAACAAAGGTCAACCCTCTCATTATTAATTCACATACAACCCCTCTTTAGCTCCTACATTCTTGCTCTCAAGAAAAGTCATCTTTCCCGCCATAAAAGTTTAGTTCCGACTAACTATACATCCCGTAGTTGACATAAGGTCGTGCTCCAGCCACTTTATGCTGATAGTCTTGCCCTAGCAAACATTCCCGCTCTCAACCTCAATTATATATTCCCTTCAACTATGTTGGCTTAAGCGTCGAAGTGCCTAAGACAGACACCACACCAGTGTCATCTAAGCCTTCAAGTTCGCTTTCTTTATCCTTGTAGGTCTACATGATTGTTAGTGGCCTCGTCCTCATGGGATCATTCTATTCATGTCAATCGTAGATTTTACCATCTACAACTACTATTTAAAATTCTAATTACTTAGGTCATGAGACATTTTTTTTTTTTTTTCATTTCAATCTCATTGTAATTTAAAGACTTGTTTGATATGTAATGCAAATATGCTAATTTCTTTCTCATTAAAGAAAAAAAAGTAATGAATTCAAAAATTACAGTCATGAGTTTTCACGCAAAAAAATTAACAATCAATAATTTTTATATTTTATGTTATGCCGGAAAAAGTAGGGTTGACATGGAGCCTCGTCAGTAAAGGATGGTCAGAGTTCAGAAGGGTTCTGCGTTGTCCAGGTGTGGCCACGTCATGCTTAGCGCAAGTGGCATGGCTCATGTCAGTGCAATAGGTGAGTGTCAGGCCAACAAGCGACTGAAGATCGCCCACATGTCAAAGCCGTGCTTTAATCAAGGAAATCCCTTGGGCAGGTGATCAATGGGATGCAAAGAAAGAATTTGCATGGCACCTACCCACTTGCAGCTTTCATAATCATTACCTTGAACTTTCCCACTATAAATAGAGGACTTCCCTCTCATTTGAGGGGATTAGCTAATTTTACGCTAAAATAGCTATCTCTCTCTCTCTCTCTAAACTGTAACTCAGCTCGCTGAATGCAACCTGATCACTCTCTCTTATTAATACAATAACAGTGGACGTGGATTCGCTTGCGAGCATCCGAACCACTTTAAATATTGCTCTTCACCTTTTATTTGATTCAATCCCCTTATATCACATGTGACTTCTAGGTCATTTTAGCATTTTACATGTGCGAGTAGTTGGTATCAAAATCAAGCATCAATAGTTTGGCACCAGAAGGAGGGTTTGATTTAGTACCTACTCTTCATCAGAAAAATCTCTGACTAATCGGCCCCACAACAGCAAATGGCTCACTGTTTTGAATCAGAGCGAACCAATCATGGCAATGAAGATATCCCCCAGATCCAGGAGGAACTTCTCTTGAAATGCCGCTAGTCTAACAGAATACCACGGGGGATATTCCTTTAAGCTTGCGGCTTGACCCAGGCATCATGAGTTACCTAGAGAGGTTTAATAATACTCTTCAAACGGTCTGCCAAAGGCTAGGCGAATTGGATCGGGTCATTCCACCCGAATCCAAAAAGGCGGTGCCACCGCAAAAAACGCATGCAAGTCGCGTGAAAGCCCGAAAAAGGGCAAAAGCCCATACCGTGCGCACTGCAGTGCATTAGAGAAAGGGAAAGCAAGTGGTGCACGGTGGACTCAAGGACTCCGAGGGACTAGCGAACACCGATCGCACCACGGGTATAATACCCGTGGTATTGCAACTCGACGACATGTCGCAACATGAGCCGTCCTGCGCCACATTGATGCGTTGTTACTACAACATGCAAAAATAGCAAGTGCACTAGTCGCACAAAGTAATAAAGTGCTGAGTGAGTATCGTTCCCACGAGGATTGGTTGCTAAGCACTAATTTTCCTAAGTGTTTTTTTTCAAGTTGGAGCAATCAAATTTGTTTGGATTAATGGGATAGAATTAAACTAAAACTAAAACAAAATATGCCAAGTATTAGAAACTAAATTATGAAAGCAAGGATTAAAAACAAGGGTAATATCAATTTAAACAAACGGGTAGGGTTTTGACTTCATTCGGACTCTATGGATGAATTCTACGAACTATGTTAATTCCACACTCACATGCACAAATTGTAAGTCAAATTCTCTAAGTTGTTAAACACACCTTCTCAGGCTATGAATTCCTACTTTTCCCTATTAAACTTCCGCATCCAACAATTTGAAGAATAATAGATCCAAGTTCATTAAGCTAAAGGAATCCTAGATTGATTTCATTGATTCTCAAATCTATCTCTAGCATTTAATACTACAATGGTGATTACCTAAGAAGCTCAATATGATTCATTTCTCAATCTCGTCATATTCATCAAATAAATTCCATTAAAAATAGAATAACCACACAATCTATGCAATAGAATATGGAAATAGCAACCCTAACCCAAAATGGGTTAGTTCATAACTAAATCAAAACACACAGCAAGAAAAACAGTAAACAAAATGTTCAACATATTAAAATGCAGAGATCTCCCCTAGTTGAAGAATCCACCAGATTCTAGCTCAAATCTTCTTTCTAAAAATCAAATCTATCCAAAACTCAATGAGAATAGACGAAAACTGGACGACCCCGAACAAAAATGGTAAAGTTTTCCTTTTATACCTCGCCCAAAGACCTAAAACTTTCCTAAAATAAAACTGTGCGTTTTGGAAAAACTAAAATTAGCAGACTTCGCCGTGGCGAAGAAAGAATTTCGCCGCGGTGATGAGGTAAAAATTAATCTCGTGCTTAACAGTTTTCACTGCGGCAAAGAATAGACTTCACAACGGTGAACCTTCATGAAGAATTCTAAAATTACAGAATTGCCTTATGCTTGCTTCTTTGCTTGAATCTTTGATCTTCGATGCTCTTCCATGGGAGCAAGCTTCATAGTGCTTCACTCTGCTTCAGAACTCTCCTAACTTTTGAGATCCGCTTACTTCTGAGTCTAGAAACTCCAATTCGCTCATTGTTTGCTCAAAATGTCCATTTTGGCCTAAAACACAAAATGTAAGGAATTAAGTAGCAATTTAGGCATAAATGAACTAAGAAGTATCTAAAATCCGGCCTAAAAGCTTAAATAAAACAGTATAATCCTCAGATTATCAAATACCCCCAAACTAAAGACATGCTCGTCCCCGAGCATCAGGTACAAAACTCAAAGAAAGAAAACAATAAACAACCAAAACACAACACAATAAAACTGGAAATGAACAAACAAAAATTAGACTCAACTCAACATACGAATTGCCTAGAATTTATACAAGTCTCAAAGGTTGTTGAAAAATTATTACTAGAAAAATGTTCAACACTCCAAGAAGTTATAAGTTGCATTGACTATCTTTCTCTATTGGTCCCTCGAGTAGGTGATCCCCACTTCAATCCACCTTCCGACTTCCCAGATTATTTTATGCAGACATGCAAAGTTTATCAAATGGCGGCAGACTCCATAAGCCTAAATATCAAACTACTCTCCACT